CCCTGGCCGGAGTTTTTAGAAATCTCCGTTTTCAGTGACCGAAAACGCCGTTTACGTGTGGACGAAAGGTGCAAACGCGTTTTCAAAAATACCCGGGTACGTGTGGACATAGCCTAAGTTTCATAGTTAGAGAGACTGTTCTGATTTGACCAAAAATGAACATGAGACCTGACTGGGGTCATGCCTGCACTTAAAATACCATCAAATATTAATGTGACCTTTGTTTTTCTTTTCTTTTTCCTGAGGGAATACTTGTTTTTAAGACAACAGCAAGATGGGCATAAAAAAAGAGATGCTTTCACCATAGAGAAGGAGGTTATGATGATGTATTTGAATATTTAACTCAAAATCTGGACACGCTCATTCACTTTTAAAGTCTTGATTTTCTTTAAAGACTGGAAGGCAAAGAATTGTAAGCAGAGAGGCCCAGAGGACTGTATCAGTCAGCACCCTCTTCTATTTTGTCTCATTACACTCTCAGACGTTACGTTCTGGATTAACAAACACTGTCTGCTGGGCTAGGTTAAGTTCCCTATAAAGCTCGTAGGAAGCTGCTTTCAAATAACTCATTTTGTCTGAAGGGTCAAATGCTTACTGTTTGGCTTCTAAGTGGGTGCAGTAATCCTGAAAGGGCCAAAACAAAATGATTTCGCCTGGAGAAGCTGAAAGAAGGCCGTGCTGAACCGAGCCATCTGCTCTGATAAATATATAAATAATCAGCTGCAGCTCATCAGAGCAGATTTGTGCTCAGCGCAATATGGCCTCAATGTGGCCTCCTGTCAAATCATCAACTCTGCATTGCACATTTTAAGCTCCTGACACTGGCACACTGTTGGTATAAGAAACTGTAGGCAAAGTCAGGGAAATGTATTTAATAATGAAAGTTTTACAACTCTGTGTTTCTGTAACTAATAACTTTTGCAGAGGAAGGCAGCCGAGTTCTCGGTTTTTAACAACAATAAGACTATTTTTTATTAATTTCTCTCAAATCTAATCTTTAAAAAGCAGAATACAGAATATTGAACTAGATAGGGTGCAATGTTTGCTTTGGTGCTGAATTTAATAAACATTATGCTAATAATCACATATGGAAGGAAGGAAGTCAAAAGCAAACAGACAGTTTCTATAATATTACTGCAGCTGTTATAATTCTGTTTTATACTATTTGAATATATCTGCTCTAAAAAATGGGTAAAATCTAATCCTAACACAATATTAATAAGTAATAATGTCTGGCTTTGAAAAAACAAACAACAAAAATCAACTAGTCTTTTTGTAAATAAGATGCTGTGTAGGTTCGTGATACTCTGGTGGAAAATTGCCTTGGTAACCCCCACCAAAATAAGGGTACACAAAATCACTACCAGATGTACATTCATGGGCCAGACTATGGCACCTTCACATCACAACCCACGAGCAAGATGCAGGTAATAGCAGGCAAGTGGAAAAGATTACACAAAGTCGAGTGCAGCCATTGGCAGAACAGCCGACTATATCAAAACTGTGATGTGTATGTGTGCTATCAGACACGATTATCAACAGAAATAATGACGTTAATAATAACGCTGGAGAGTTGAGTTAAATATTCGTCAGTGTCATATCATTCGCTGTCTCTTGACCAGCAGACCAGCTTCTACCACGCTCAGCAGAGCCAAATAATGGTAGGAGAGGCTAGTGAGTAGGCAAGGTCGGCCACTGGCTGCTTCCCAGGAGCTCGTTGTGTTCGGCCTCCAGGCCTGGTGAGTGCAAAAGTACCCAGTGTTTGGCTTTTGATAGGTTCTAACATTGATCTGCAACTTGCTTCCAGCTCTAATGAATAATGAATGCCCATATTGTCATCCCACACAGATCGCATTTCACATGGAAACAGACTACACTGGTAATTAGACAGGACTTTGCTGGCCTGCAGCTTTCTATGCTGAACTTGCCAGGGATTGTGGTGTGGAGAGAGAGAGAGAGGTACTGCTGAGGTAAAATTTCAAGGGCGTTTTATACGTTTAGAACAGCATCTTCCATATTTTTAAATTCAGATATGAAATTTACATGCCGAACTATTTTTTTAACAGAAACTGTTAAGAGGAGAAGCCTGACGGAAGTCAGGACACGGGTCTCCTGTGTGGTGTTGGGTCTGGAGGAACATGCTCTATTTGACCCAGAAACTGAAAGAGGAAAGCTGTTAGACTGGTGACATCAGTGTTGATGCAGACTACGGAAAGTTGGAAAGCTGTCATGTTGCTGATGAACAAAGTGAAGTGAACAGTGATGGGTGAAGACCATGAGCAAAGTGTGTGATCTCACAATCACAGACTACAACTGAAGAACAGAACCTTTATTCCAAGCATTTTAGTTCCCAGTGCAGGATAACGAGTATTTTACAGCCTCATGTCACCAGATAAGAGCTAGAAATGTATCTGACATTAAAGTAGCTGTATGAGCAGCAATGGTTACACCTCTTAATTGTGTAAAAGAAATTTTCCTTTCAACAAAGCAGCAATATTGTTGTATTACACACCTAATACAATATACACTCAGACCTTATTTTGCACTTCTGCTATCAGACCAACAAATATCCCAAAATTCCTATTGCTGAATTCTATTCATTTCCTTTTTCAATATTTATTTAAACACTTTTACAAAGCTTTGTTTGAGTTTTAGTCACAAGATAAAAACGACTCTTGCTTTACATTCCACAAAAAGTAAGACTGCTCTGTAGTAGGCAGCCTGAACGTGGGCAGGTACCTGTACCAATCCAACTAGAAGGATAACTAGCAGAGCTAGTTCTTATACTCCATACCATTTCTGCTTTATCTGCAGAATCACAAGTTATAATGAGAGGAACCAACGTCCCTCCTCCTCAGGGGGCTCTACAAGATGCTGAGTTCCTAACTTTACTTTTCAAAATAAATAAATGGCAGCTACATTGTAGCCACAGCCACCCTGGGGTGCACTGACAGAGGCAACGGGTGAAGTGTCTTGCCCAAGGACACAACGACCGAGACTGTCCAAGCCGGGGCTCGAACCGGCAATCTTCCGATTACAAGGTGAACTTCCAACTGTTGAGCCACGATCAAGAGTTGGGAGTTGGAAAATGCTTAAAATGAAACAGGCTACTGTGGAAGATTTAGCAGCTGCCTGAGATTTGTCCAAATTAAAGGAGAAGTGTCTTTAATGATGCTTGGTAATACCAATTTACCAATTTATCAAAATATAGGACATGAAGGATGAAAATGGCTAATAATCAATGCTGTTACTTTTTTGCTGGTGTTGTTATTTACTTCCTCTATTCTGCCATGAAAACAAAAAATGTTAATTCTAAAAAAAAAAAAAAAAATTTTGAACATTTGATCTGAAATAAGATTTAAAAATCTAAAAAGAAACTTTCAGATTTGATCAGTATTTTACACAGAATTAGCCACTTGCTAAATAAATGAGAAAATAAACAGGTGAATTCTTACAAAACAAACAAAAAAAGAAACAAAACAGCCTTAAAATGTTTAACCATAAACAAACAGATGTTAACCATCGACGTATATCTAGCGTATGCTTTAGAAGGCTATCACCAGAAATATGTTCATCTCTGAATGCTAATCAAAAATGACAATCAAATGCAAATAACACACATGTCAATATATCAAACTTGCAATCAGATGTCGTGCTTGACCAAATGATTTGATAGTATTGTAGCTACACGCTGAGAAAAACTGCAATATAACAAATGGCTGATAGCTGCGCTAAAAAGCTACGAATGGAGGTGTTATCAAACAAGTGTGAGTTTAAGACTCGCTAATGCCTAATTTCCTGCACAAGGTTTTCATCCAGGCATTTAACACATAATCCTATTACCAGCCAATACCATGAGTTTTTGACTACCCTCTAAACACGGTCTTTTTCACTGGCCAGTGTGTTAGTGGGATAATGTCACTATCAATAAAATTAAGCCCAGACAAAGCACCCATCAAGTCGGAGGGTTTAGACACTTTCTCTTTCTACAGTTACTGGAAGTTGGTTTAACCCCAGACTCTGCGTACAAGAGGAACTGAGTCACTTCTGATTCAAGGATGTGTCTGTGTAGTCTTCAGTGTGACTGCATCAGGGCAGAAAGCACTGTTGCTCATGGAAATCATAATAGTGGTAAGTTCACACCGAAGCGAACTAACAGACATAGAAGCTGTTTCCACAAATGAAGTGACAAATAAAAACGAATTCATGTATATTTCTATGAAACCACTCATGACTTTGTCATTAAGGACCTTTTTAAGGAAAAAAGTTAGCAATAGTGGCTTACACTTAAGGAAAGCAAGCTTATGACTGGAAGCTGACTGGTTAAGTTGGCTTATACACAGCCTGTAATAATAACAACCCCCAACTACATGAGCGACGCTGTTCAATGGCCCACAAAAAAGGCATCTCCTGGATGTTACTGGTTATATCAGTTGTTAAAATATAGCACATATTTGTAACAATGAACACATTATATAGAGAAACTGACTAATGCCTCGGGGCTTCCTATTTCTCTCTGACCAGTCCTCAGGATGAGCAAGTGTAAGCTATACCAGAAGCAAACCCATCAAGATAAAGATCTTGATTGCACCCAGAATGGATCGTGGATACATTAACACAATAGTATCACAAAAAGAGACAACGTGTGTGTGAAATACTGACATTTGCTTTCAGGTTAGTGCAGTTATTCAGTTAGATTGAGTGAAAATCACAAAAAAAGACGTAGAATTTGCAAATCTAACCATCAAAAGAATCGCAGATACACTCCTTGTAGCGTTCTTAATCTGAAATAAACATCAACGTGTGCCGATTCGATTTGGAATATTATTTCTAAATGCTGTTCCTCAAAGCTACCTGAATGTTGGACACGATATTGATCCGTGCCACTTATGTAACACAAGGTACTCGGTGGATCGTGTTGTGCGAGTTGGCAAAAAAGGAAAAGTGTTCTCTTACCTGCCCCAGGTAAGTCAGCTGCGATCACTATTAACAACACCGTTACCACCAGAAGCGCAGCACGCTGGCTGTGGGTGTGCATGAGAGCTTTGGGCATCACCACCAAACACACAGTGGAGACTAAACCTGCCATGGTACGGTGGGTGTCGAGTCAAGGCATGTCATCCGGTTAAGGAGAGAGGATTCACTCCAAAAAGACAATCGCAGGTTAGGTTTTTGTGAGCGCCTTAGTTTGCTCTTCTTCACTTTAAGGCCCCTTATTCCATCACATGTCTTTGTAGTGGAGAAAAACTGTTGAAAAGAAGCAACAGTGAGACATTTAAAAACAGATTGTGTTAACTTAAGAATCCTCCAGTAAGCTGAAGAACAAGTGAAAACTACTTAAATCATTTCAAACCTGCAATTTTAGGGTAACATTAATAACAGATATCATTGGATGATTGGAGCAATACATTTTCTTTTATCCATGCCCTGGATCGTTGATTAAAAGTGAGTATTTCCCTTATTTATCCTGCAGTTTTCACACTCATGGCCAAATTGGTCGTTAAAACAGCGACTATTATCCCATCAGATAAACAAAACAAAGCAACTTACTCCACATAAGGGGGACAAATCTGTAAGGAGGTCAAAAAGGCAAAAGACGATCCATCCCTCGGATGTATGGCTAGCTTTAAGACGCTCTCACAGCGGGTCTTATCATGATACAGTAGTCTCTTGTCCTACATCCCGTCCCGTTACTTGCAAGCTTAATGGTCATGTGGCTTTTCATTTAGCTAGACAAAGCAGGTTCCATCCCTCGTTTGAGTCAGACAGGAAAACGCTACACGCTGCCTAGCCAAAATAATTTGATGATATATCCCAAAGCTTGCGCTCAGTGCATACATAAAGCGATTTTTCCTTCTCAATTCGCCCCCTGCCATTCCTGTAAGCCAGCTCATAGCTGCGCACACAGACTTACCAAGAAAGGGAGCTCCAACTCTATCAGTTCCTTTGTGAGCGTGAGGAGAGGATATCCTCGGATGAAATCAGATGCTGTGTGGAGCTTTGTCATTAACGTCCCCGTGCCCACCTGCGTGCCTTTGAAGTTTTTTTGCAGTGTATACGTGGTGTGCACGAACTGGCGACTGGCTTTCATCTGACACTCTTTTGGTAACAGTTACCTTCTCTCGTCCCGAGGATTGGGATAGCCCCGCCCTCTGACAGATCTGATTAGTTTCTAATTTGCTAAGGCGTATTCCCATTGGTTCAGCCTCTTTTCTGTCACGGTGGCCTTTTAAACATTAGGTTGGTCTTCGTCAGGAGGCGTCTGCGGCTTCCACGGCAACCTCACGCACTGATGCACTCACCCCAAGGTATAGCTATTATATTTTTATTGGCTGTATAGAGTTGACCTTCTTCCGCTACTGAGTTCAAACAAAAAATATTCTATTACCCTAATATGTAATTATATTACATTTACAAGCCTCAGTCTTATCTTTATGGTGGTGAGACTTTGACGGATGTGGTATCAAACAATAAATTCGTTTGTTTTTGTTGCTATTTAACACATTTCTGAAAACAAGTTAATTCTCTATGTAAAGATAAATTAAATATCCTACTTGCAAAGACAGGGCCCAGTTGTGCAGCGTGTAAACGTTGCCCATTGCAGAGTTTTGTGGTTGCAAATAAATGGAGATGATTAGCATACCTGATCACGTCAGTGCAAGTTTCTAAGTGAACATCATGGCGAACACCGCCACCTGGTGGTGGTGTTGTGTGTAGCCAATGCTGCCGATGTTAAAGCAGTTTCTTTTTACTTATTTCTCTCTGACTCTTGTTGTGGTCAGTGGATAAAAATGTCGTGAAAAACCTAACGTGACGTAGTAGCATTATGGTGTTTTAATCTCCATAAAATGTATGCGTGTAGCTAATGAGCAAAATAAAGTAGTTTAAATGGTTAAAAGGTGAGACTTCATTATACTACCACATTGATATAACAGCTGTAGCTTGTGTGCAGATTCAAAAATGTGTAAATTTATGATGGCCTTACATATTATAGGGTATAAAAATGGGCTCTCCCTGAAACATTTACAACTGTGAAATAAAATAAGGCAATAAATAAAAAAAAAATCTCTTTTATGTGTTTTTTACAGGCTGGAAGTTGGTTTCCAATTTTGTATATAGTGCATGACATGAAATGTTTCTCTCAAACTTGTGCATAAAATGTTTATTTAATTGTAATACACAATAAGCCATGCCCAGACCTTTTAATTAATTAATTCTAGATCACACACTGCAGTCAAACTGCACTTAATTTTGAGGTTTTGCAAGAGACAGTATGCTGGGTGCAAAGAATGAGCCTCAGTCATGCACACACATATACCCCACAGTAGACAACAGGAGACCGATGCTGTGACTTAACAGTTTAATGTAAATCCAAGACAAAGTGTGATTACATTTCTACACATATACAATATGCATATGTGAGCATACAAATTCTCATTAATAACTCGATTCACCTCGGAGACCGAAAAAATGATCAAAAGTAACAGTGAATAACAAGCTATAACATAGTTCACCACAACGGGAGCCCCTTGTCACCCTACAGTTAGTAAAGAGGACAATTAAAATAACTATATTCTTCTATTTGACGAAGCTGTTTGTCTGTTAAAATCCTCCTGTAAAATTTACAACGCTATCATTAGTTTTTTCGAAGCCTAATATAAATTCACTCCATTTTTCTACAACGAAAATGATTAAGAGAAGCACACGACATCATAATGGTAACACAAGCGCTTAGTAGCAAGTACTCAACTTGTTAGGAGGTTTAATTAATCCTTTTTCTTATTGTCATTATTATATTTATTTAAACATTCTATAAAGCCAGTAAAATATCCATTCTCATAACATACTTAATATTAGGCTAAGGAACAGGGTATACATTGAACGCTACGTCAACAGATTGAAATAATGAGACATCACACCCCAATAAACCAAAGTAAATAAGAAAAGACAATAAACAGAGAAGTATACTAGGAAATACTGCAGCACACATTAGCTTTATCGACAAAGAATGAGATTTTACACCATTGATAAACCATACAGCAATGGACACAAAAGGGGGTCAGGGTTTGACGCGCTCTTAGGTCTTTAGAAAATGCTAACAAACTGAATTATCGCCTTCTTTGTGCGAGTAGCTATTTAAAACTACTATAACTTGATTATTGTAATTTGATTATACCGAGGATCCCAAAAGGGACTGTGATCCTAAGATTAAGACAAACAAGGAAATCCATCTTTGAATGTAGTAGCTTTGGTCTACCAAGTATTCCGGTAAAATAACCCAAAAGTTCTTAAATGTGGACCCCAACATCTCATAAGATTACAGATTGGGGTAATCGGCTGGTGCAGATCAAATGAATATTAACTCAGCACGTAAAGAAATCACTTTTTAAAGTTTCAATAACTTGACGCCAGTGTCAGTGACGGCATCAAACCTTGACCACCTTACCCTGAATTCCCCCAAAGAATAGCCAGCAAAAGGAGCAGATCCCCTTAACAAATATATATTAAAAACCAAAAAATAAAACAAAAACAACAAAAAAAAAAAAACATACAAAAGGGCTTCAAGAATGCTCGTGTAACTAGATTATGAATTTCCTGGTGACAGAATAGTTCATCAGCACGTGATTTATCCACCTAACACCTGTCCTTAAACTCCTTTGTACTTTGGGAAGCAGCTGTGACTTTGCCAAATGACGAGCGTGTGATTTGACGTTGCAGGTCGCTCGTTCGCTTACTAAGCTTCGAGCCAGCTTGGAGGAGTTTGTTTCGAAGAAGACTAATGTAGCACTGCGCGCGCCGCGCTCGCGGGAATGTTTCTCAGTGTTTCCAAAGCTCCGGGACGACGAGTATGTGAGATGACACCGTGGGCAAAAGTGGAAGTTTGAGTGTATCTCAGGAGAATGCCAGGCTTCATAAAGAGAGAGAGAGAAAGATGCTGCCTTGTGTTTTCTCGAATTGAAACGTCACCTTAAAGCTTTGGAGGTATTATTGGTTATTTGGAAGGCAGTACTTAAGAATAAAGTTTGTTGCTGGGAAGGCTACACTCACCACGGCAACAGAAAACATTTTTATACTCTACTTAAGCACATTTTGGTAATTGTAAGGTCACTCGATCTACATTAATGCTCATATTCTTATTCCCCCCTTTTTTCGTAGAAAACACAAAACATTGGTTAAGTGAAACTGAACGATAGACAAATGTTTCGTACACATCAAGTTAAGTTTGTTTGATTTGAGAAAATAGCGATTATTCAATACCCCCGACTCGTGATACTGGTAACTTTACATAATTAGTCTCATGTGGGAGCTCGCTGGAGAACAAATGTTTAGTTATTGCATCATGCATGGCCACAAATGGTGTCGAAATCAAACTAATGGTCACCCACGGAGAAAGATCTAAAGCCATTCCTGCCACTTCCTTTCACTCACAGGTCACGTATTACATTCATGTTGTGCAGGTGACCACGTTTTTAAAGGTATACTTGGTATATTTTTGATTATTTCCATAATAATTAACGGGCCATTCTCCTCAATGGCGACCTTTAAAATTAATTTTAAACACTGCTAATAAAGCTACAACATCAACAACAGAAAAATTGATCGTTTTAGACGATTATTGATTTAATCTAAACGGGCCAAATATGAGGAAAAATCAAAGTGAAACATTAAAAAAAACAAAAGCTTTCAAACACATTGCAGCTCTTCTAATGGTTAAATGTCCAGAAACAAATAGCTGTGCTGTTTGCAAGAAGTATGCCAAATCCTCCCTGTGCAGTCGTACGTTGTACACACATATACATTTCGTGGTGGTGAAACAACATGTCCTCAAAAGCACTTGTAAAGCATTTAAAGATGAGACCAGAAGTTATTGCCTGTCTGCAATGCTGTGGAGGATTGCGCTGTGCTGTGCTGTACATGATCGATCTGTAAAAGTCTTTGGTGGGACAAGCAAAAGAGTCAGAGTGTGTCACCATTAGCCCCATCCTGAAAAGAGTGGGGTGGGGTCTGGACAGCAGTGTAGCGTGGGTAATGCCAAATTCCCTCAAAACAGTGGAATGTTTCAGTAGTTTGTGTCATAACAGAGGAGCTAAAAGACTTCCATGGAAAATCACTTCCCTTATGTGTGTGTGTGTGTGTGTGCGCTAAGGCCCCAATGACCCAGAGGAAATTAAGTAGGTAAAATAATATCAAATAAAAAGACAATGAACGACGTAACCAGCAACATACTATGTAATCACATCTTTAAGCGCCTGGACCCGAGGCTTGCATGCTGGAGCTGATGGGGAGGGGAGAGCTTTGAGGAAAGTACCGGGATAAAAGACCATTCTGGGGCCCATCGGGGGGCCCGCTGGATTTCAAACCTGGGTGTGGCATCCTCAAGACGAGCACGTATCGATAAGGGCCCCCAGTGGATCATCGTCAACTCAACACTTATCGTCTTCAGCAGTGTTGCAACACTTTACACAGGTGCAACCACCTCAACATAATACTAAATATCACTGTACATCAACCCCCAGGTTATAAAACAGAAATGAGCCTGACATATAATAAAAACACACACGCGCACGCACACGCTCTGATAAAACATCAACAAGAATTATTGCAACAATCTCTAAAAATAAACACATGTACTACAGCCATGTCAAAAAGTTCAAGATGATGTTGGAAAAAAAAAAAATCACTTCAAATGCAAGTACTATGGCATAGCATGAAGGAGAGGGGAAGGCTTTCACTAAATCACCAGCACTTCTGATGTGCCCACGTTCGAGAGGATGAAGGAGATTCATTATTATTAGCTACAAGAAATTGAAATCTATTAAATCAAGCAGCAAACACACAAAGCGGCAGCCCTATTGGTTCTCTAAGTGTTCGGGTATCCTGTCTGGCTGGCATGGCGGTGTCTGCGGTGAACCTGGTTCGAAGACAAATGGACAGCGATGACAAACCATCCACAATGTGCCCTTCCAGGTGTATGCTGTGACGTTTCCCTTCTGTTCCCTTCAAAACATCCGTGAATCAACTTCCAATTATCTTTGCTGCAGAAACAACAAGAGGAACAAATGAAAACGACAAAAAAAAGGATTAATGTCTGAATGTTACGTCATTCGGACA